GAACAGTCCGCCCATCAAATCCATATCCTTCCAATTTAGAGAGAAGGATATTGTGGGGGACCATGTCAAAGGCCTTACAGAAGTCCAGATAGATGGCATCCGTAGCTCTTCCCTAGTCCACTGATGCAGTCACTCCATCATAGAAGGCCACTAGGTTGGTCAGGCAGGACTTGCCCTTGGTGAAGCTGTGCTGGCTGTCTCAAATCACCTCCCTGTCCTCCATGTGCCTTAGCATAGCTTCTAGGAGGATCTGTTTCATGATCTTCCCAGGCACAGAGGTGAGGCTGACAGGTTGGTAGTTCCCAGGGTCCTCCTTTTTACCCTTTTTAAAAATGGGTGCAATATTTCCCTTTTTCCAATCCCCAGGGACTTCACCTGACTGCCATGACTTTTCAAATATCATGGAGAGTGGCTCGGCAACTACATCAGCCAGTTCCCTCAGCACTTCCCTCAGGAGTACATTGCTGGCTCATGTCCAGCTTTCTGTCTATCAGTACCCCCAAGTCCTTCTCGGCAGGGCTGCACTCAATCCCTTCATCCCCCAGCCTGTACTGATACTGGGGATTGTTATCAATCAGAAAGATCATATACCCTTTCTCTTAAGCAGTTAGAAAAATGGTAAAAACTTACAGCTCATTACTTACCTCTCAAGCTGTATACAGCAAAGGTGCACATATCAAAGGCAATTTATACGACCAAAGAGGTATGGTATAATCAGACAGTGATTTGGATACAAAACCTTTAAATCTCTGTTTATCTGTGTTTTCATCTGGATTTTTAACTTTTAAACATGAAGACTGAATCACTGTGTGTCAAGTTGAAAGGCACATTTTTAGGCCAAATTATTATATAGTTCATGTGCACACATACCTAAATGTAGGCAGAATATCAATTACTATAGTAGCATTGAGAGTCAAGCAATCATGGCATTTTCTTATTTGCACACCATAGCAAGTTCTATTTAATTTTTATAATTTTAAAATGGGGATGAACATGATTTGCATGTCTGGTAAGTTGCAAACTGTGACACTGGGCCAAGTCAAAATTCAGAAAGTCAATCAAGCTACTGAAAAGCATACGATGCACGTATTCTTCCATGTTAGAATATTAAACTTCAGTCTTATTTTTGGACAAGCAACTAAAGCTAGCTTTTTAGGCTTGTACACCATCACAAATCAAAGTATTTCTTTTAGGAGGTCTATTGGCTGATGTGATTCATTGAAGCTTGCTGTTTTCAATCATGTAAATCTGATATGACAAGACAAAAAAGCAAGGTAGCACAAAGGCTTGTTCAGCTATTCAGACAAATAAGATTTTATGTAGTGCATAAAAGTAAGTCTCCAGTAGATCTGGACTGCAAATTTTCCACAGAAACACAGTCCTTATTGTACTGTGTCAAATTATTCTTCACTTAATTTCAATATTTCTATCTGCATTCAGATAAAAATACCTAGCTTAATTTATCAGAAACACAGGAGAAAGCGTGAACAGGCATTAATGAAGACCTAAGTAGAGCCCGTCTCTCTTCTCACTGAGGCATATAGCCCCCTTGTCTCACAGTCTGCGGGAGTTAACTTTTTGGCATTTCATCAACTGACAGTGGATTTCCTTCCACTGTTTCAGGTCTCACAGTTTGTCCTTCAATACTTGTCTGTAAAACATCTGATAGAGCAGCTTCCTGGGTATTTTTTTCCAGCCCAAGGCCCAAAGGCTGTGAACTCGGACCTGAGATCTGCAGTTGTGCAAATCCAACAAGATCCCCCTCATTAGCAGGAGTAATTTGCTTTGCTCTTTCGAAGCACAGTCTGTCTGTGTTGGTTTCATCCTGACCACAATTTTGTTTGAAATACTGCTGCCTCTGTGTTGTACTGTCACTCCCTCCAGCGTGATCCTCTGATCTCTCTTCTGAATCTAGCAGTGGCTGAGTTGACTCAGACCTTGAAAAGACTTGTACAGGTGTTTGATCTCTATAGCCATTAAATACTACAGTTGAATACTGTACAGTGCTTGAAGTGCTTTGTGTAGTTTCACCTTCGTCGCTGTCAGAGACGCTTTGCCTAGAAGACATGCACGAGGATCCTCCAATACCACTGCTGTGCCCTTCTGAAGTACTTTTTTCCTTTTTAAGCAAGTCAAAGGGTTTCAGGTCTTGTTCTGAAAAAGACTTTTTGTCATCAGCTTCTATTTCTATAATGCTTACATCTGTAAAGCCGCCTTCTTGGTACATCTGATCTTTGGAACTAAAGTTATGCTGAAAGAGAGAGATGGATGATGCCTAAGAGGAAGTTTATTTAGGTTAAAAAAAAAATCCAAAAAACTCATTAAATATCTGAATTTTTAGTCTGTAATTGCTTTGAGATTCTTCATATAAGTTTTCTCCTTACTGAGTTTGGCAGTATCTCCAAAGTATCTGTTACAAAATGAAGGACATATAGCTTTGTTTCCAGTACAAAATTTTAATTACACAGATATTCTAAAACCATAATGGGTGTGCAAGCTTTGCTTTAGTTTTAATTATTCTGAAGAGCCATAAACGTAGAACCATTTACTGTGCAGCACAGGAACATTCTGTATTGAGGCCATACAAACAATACTTCCAATAACATATTCAACATCAGAGCACTTCTTCATAGAAGTTGACACAGTTTACCGAACAGAATTTGCTGTGTCATCCACCCCACATGGGGCATAAATTTTGCTGCCATCTCCTCATCCATGAAGAACTCTTAGAGCTCGCTCTCTCATTTATGACTTAACTGTGCAACAAGTCACTTCAGGGTTTTAAGAATGGGAATCATTAATCCTGTTTACTTATTCCTGATTTCCTGTGAATGAGTAAAATAATTAGGGCTTGACCCTTCAAACTAGTAAACTGAGTATAATTCACAATGCTAAAGCCTGCTCTATGCTGTGAGCTTGTGCTAAGGGCCATGTATCTCTAAAGCTGAATCTATTGATGCAATGAAGTCTTCTAACCATATCATATCACAGTGTCCTGAAACTTAACATCAGGGATTTTTTTTTTTTTCCTGAAGTCTGCATGTGTTAGAAGAGAGAAGACTCCCACTGGTTAGTTTATTTGAAACCTTGTAGACTAGGAAGATACAGGATGCATAAAGATGAGTATTACCTTAGCTGGAACTTGAGGAGACCACTTAGCAATGTTACTCTTGGATGGATCAGGGACATTAGGCCAGATATGCTTTTTAATTCTGTAAAGGATTAAAACCAGAATAAAATTACAAGATCCACTCCCCAAATTCCTATGTTTATAGCAAGTATTGCATAATCCAGGACACCAGTCCCTTACACAGCAGTTTTGCCAGAGTATTTATTTCCGAATAGAAATACTTCCTGCACTTCCTTACATCTTTGTAAGAAGCTGTACTACGTAGCAAAACACAGCACTGCGCTTATAACTCCTCCACACATTAGCTGTAGCCATATAACATGAGGCAAACCAACAACATTAACGGTTAGTGAGGGATTTTCAAATTTATAGTACTCTAGAAGCTACAGAACAATTATTTATGTAGAGTCTATGATGCATGTCAGTATAAAAATTCACTGTTGCTTCTTTAAGATAACTATAAATATCACAGCTGTCAAAATCTAAGCCAACTTCACAACTAAAAAAGTGAAAACATTTGAAGAAAAACTTGCTTGGTCTTTTGTAACTCTGAACTCTTAAACTTAAGAATGTAATAACTGTTACTTAACAATAGAAGTTTAGAAGTTTCTGTAGATAAATCACCCCCAACCAAACTAACTTTGAAATTGATGCATCTATCCTGCTCTTTAGAAACAGGCTCCAACAGCAGAGCCTCTATAGGAGAGCTCAGAACATGTTGCAACATGAGCTTTTCAACTGAAGTCCATTAAGAGCTGATTTTAGAAACAGCAGGAAGGTCAGAAGGAAAAGGGCACAAAGTGCTGTCTTTAATTAGAAAGAAAAGATAGTTGACTGAGGACATGTGAGAGGTGCTACTCTTTGCCAGGGAAAACACTTCAGCAATAAGCTCTCGGACAAAAGCTCCGGGGTAGAGGGAGCAGGAGGAGGCAGGATGTTTCCCAGCAGATAGTAAATAGAAACAGGGTTTGACTGAGGTTATGCAAGGTAGATAAGACATCTGCCTAATTTTTTTAGCTGCAAAGCTTAAAGTTTACTAACACTGTAATTAAATAGCTCAAACACAGCCAGCAAACAGATTCTTCTGTGCTTCACAAAATGAGGACCATCATTCCGCTCTCATATGATGACTATGAAAAACAGCACAGACAGTATATCCTGATCAAAACCAAACAAACCTAATCCTGACTAAGTCTAGCAAGAAAAGCAGGAATTTCCTTGCAGGATTGAGTCATGGAACATTTTGTTTGAGTTCTAATCATTAACAGTAAGAAATTAGTATCAGAAGAGGCCCTGATTTCTCAAGGAAAACACAGAACTTTATCACCAATCAATGTGTTTTAGCTTCTTTTTCTGATCTAACTGCAGAACATTTACTTGTTTATATTGAATTATTGCCATCTGTTATGTCCAGAAACATCAGAAGCATAAGAGAAAGACTTCATTTATACTTACAAGTCACATTTGTTGAAGCAAAACAAAACTCCAAGGAGTACAATCAACAGGAACACTAGACACACAGGTACAACTATGGCTTCAATTTCTCCTTTCCCTGAAGAAAACAAAGAGAAGCAGTTATAGCCGCCTTTGACATTTAAGGAACTCGGCAGCAGCACACATTCCCAAAGGGACAGGGAGAATCTGAAACTGAATATACCCACAGCACTTGGTCTTAAGATTCACCTTCAGAACCTTTTCACCCTATGAAAAGAGTCTGTTAGTAAAAACATGAAAAGCTCTATCCCAACAATCTAATGCCTCGCATCAACAAAACATGCAGGTTGCTCTAGAAGCTGTAATACTGAATATTGACAGAGCAAGTAATTTTACAGTTTAGGCAGATATGACAGCAACGTCTATGTGAATGCATCTGTGGTCCAGGTGTTTCAGTGGCATACCGACTGCCATATCAACATCATGGTCAAATGACCAATGTAAACAAAGTCACTAGTCATCCATCAGTTTATTCTGTACATGAAAATACCATCTGCCTGCAAACACTTAAGTTTGCATTATTGTTATGTATTCTTTCCAACATTATATACATTTTCAAGTATACCTTACAGAATCCTTAGGGAAGAGCAACACTATACAGAAAAAAATATATTAAAAAACCTGCTAAATCTAAAAAAGTGCTTTCCACAACACAGTTCAGTTAATGTCATTGCTCTTACTATTACAAATAGGAAGCACACTAAAGCTGCACACACAATAAATTTAACTCTTCAAAATGAGTCTCTGTAGAGAACTGTAACAAACTTTAATAAGTTATATGAATGGGCATGTGGAAGCTGAGGTTGTAAGAATGGCATGTGCTGACTGGCACCTAGATTAGCAGAACAAGATCCCAACACATCTCTGCAGCTTCTCAGGATACCCAGATCAGGATAATAAAGGCCAACATACCCTCAGATTAAAACAGACTCTGGATTCTAAGACCAGGTAGAAGCCATCAGACACCAATTGAGAAGACAAATGCACTGAGTAAATTCTAATGACTCACACAAAGGTGGAGCTTTGCTATACTGTTGCAACATTACTTCCTACTTCTATTAAATTTTTTCACTCTTCGTTACCAAATTTTTGTGTAGTAAATGTAAAATCAGGACCACTCCTGCCTCCTTCATCTGTGTATGCCATCATCCACACAGTATACAGTGTGTCACTGGTTAGAGAAGAAAGGGTGTATTCTGTCTTGGAAGAATCCACTGTCACAGCTAGAGAGGAAAAAATTATACTAGCTTTCTGTACAATTTATTAGATCTCTACAAACAGTAGCATTAGGACATCGTGTCTTCAGATGTACAAGATAGTTTTAGTAGAATGCATAGCTGCATGGAAACTACAACAGACACAGAAAGACTACAAACTTGTACAAGAAATGCAGAGATTCATTTGTTTTTGTTCAAGTATTTGAATTTAGTCTCTTTCTTGATAATACTTTATGTGTTAATTTCCTTCTTCCCCCTCCCAAGTAGCTACAAACTAAACTGGTAGTAAAGCTGAGGCTTAAAGGTATCTAATAAGCAGGATACATGGCTAACTAGAAATAACATGGTTATCTAGAAATAACAAAAAGTAGGGTAGGCATAAACAACAGGCCCTTCCAATCTAAGCAGATCTAAAAAAAAAGGAAAAACTTTCAATAGTGCCAGCTCCCTGTCTTATGCCTGCAGGTCATACAGACTACTCAGAACTAAAAAGCACTTCAAACAAGATGTTTTACATCAGTAATATATTGATCTAGAGCTCCAGAAGGATTAAAAATCCTCTTTTTTAAGGCTTTACATAGGAGGCAATTCCTTTACATCTTGAATGGTCTGGCTTCATCTTGCTATACCACCATCTTGTCCTGTATTTACACAGAAAGATGTGAGCACAACACCTGCAAATCAGCTTTCAGAAACTAAACTCAGTACCCTGTTATACACAGACTGAATGTTTTGAATTCTTTATTAGGGACTTTTCTGTTTGGTATGTAGGAGAGCTATACCTCAGACACCAGCTCTGTGTCATCAGAACAGACTGTCAGCCACACTTGAGTCCATCTTGTTTTTCAGGAACATGTATTAGGAAGGAAACAGATGGAATACTTCAATGTCACAAAGCACTTCTCTGCTTTCTGTTACTTGTTTCATTTCCATTGACAGTTTTGTAAAATATTGTGTAACTTCTGATAAATCCATTTTGCTCATCCACTGTGAGATGGTTCCATGTCAAAACAGCTTCAGCTTTTCCTACTTTTTTTGTCTGAACAGTTGGTCCTTTTGAAGGACCTGTAATGGGAGATGAAGATTAGTTTCTGTTGGAGACCCT